GTCCCAGTGTTATTATTAACTCATGGACTTATATTATTTTTCATTTTTGAGGAGTCTTTCTGATTTCTGCAAGCTTCCTGCCTTTATGGATTCATTTTATTGAGTCACTCCTAAGAGACAACACCATGATAATTATCATGGTAGACCACTTGGTCTGGAAAAAAAAAAAAGGACAAATTAAAAAACAAAAAAAATGGTACAATCAAGTCTGAAGTCATGTACTGAAGTCAATATAAGACTTTACGTATGATTTTGTATTCTCCCAGAAGTTGTGAAAATGCTGTATGTGTTTATGATAGATGTAACATAATAGAACTCTTCAGAGAAAGAATTTGAGGTTGTTCTTTTGAGAAAACACTAGGAACAGTTAGTTCTCTGCAGGACTGTACTGCGTATAGCTGTCTAGTCCTTGACCCCCATTTTTCATTTCCTCAGAATGATCAGTAGAGACAGATTTTCCATTTGTGCTTTAGCGGTCATACACAGTACACATTTGTATGATTATTCAAAACATGAGGAGATTGGGGTCACAATACTACGGATTGTATCTGTCCACCCAATTGCCTTTAACAAACCAAAATGCTCACCAATGCCCAGGCCATGATTCATTCTGTTATTAAACTGTAGGCTTTGGGAAGCCTGAAGCCATAAGCTGGTGCTTGCATTGTATTCACTGATTCATTCGTTCAATGAACATTTATTGAGCATCTAGTATTTGCTAAACACTATTTCAATTAGCAACAATCGCACCTCAGATAAACCTCATTGGCTACCACAAGGCCCCTGTGCAAAGCTACTGCTGAGCCCTACTCCAGATGCTGGAACAACAAAAACTGCCAGGTAACGACGTCTCTGTCCTTTTAGAACTCCTTGAAAATGCTTCCAGTCTCCACTTCTGCTGGGGCCTGTGTAGGAAGCAGATGCAGGAGGAGCTGGGGCAGGGCTGGAGGCTAGAGGCCTGAATGCAAGACCTGGACTCCAGCCATTTTAGCTGAGACCAGAATGGTGTCCAAATCATCTCTGCTCCCTTCAGTCTGGAGCACTGACCTTCCTCTGCCTACTCGTCCCTTCTATCTATCTGCTCCTGCCACTTTATCTTACTCACCCTTCAAGGTGCAACTAATTGGTTTTCTTCTGGAAGCCTTCTGGATCCCACAGTCAGGCTGTCTCTGCTGTCTTAGAGCAATTGTATTTTTTTTTTTTTTAATCACAGTATATATCACATAGTATTTGCATCATTGTCTGTCTCATGTTGTGAGCCATCACTTGTGCCCCAAGGCCATTTTTATCTTGCAGGCTACCTTTAAAGATTAAATCAATTGGGATACCTGGGAGGCTCACTTAGTTAAGTGTCTGATTTTTGGTTTCAGCTCAGGTCATGGTCTCAAGGTCATGAGATCGAGCCCCATGAAATTCAGTGGGGCTCATTGCTTAGCAGGGAGTCTGCTGGAGATTCTCTCTCCTTCTGTCTCCATCTGCCCCTTGCTCACGCTCTTTCTCTGTCTCCCTCTCTCAAATAAACTTGAAGAATTGTCTGGTGTTAGTTGTTTCACGACTATCTCACACTTTTCTTTGAGCTCTAGTTATTCTAGTCCTATGACAAATGGCCTGGAGTCTAGATCATATCTGCTTTGGTCAAGTGTGTCAAATCATACAGCCATTCCTACAGTAAAACAACTACACACTGAAATAGAAGGTAAAGGAAATCGTTCCTTCAGAAATTTCTCTTTCCAAGGAATGTCATCTGAATTGTGACTGTAAAACCTGACTGTTCTCCTGGGTCTGTAGACATGTTAACAACAGTGAAGAAAAGGAAACTTGGGTAGAATCTCTAGTAGGAGGTCATTTACAGTAAATGGAACTCTTGGCACCAGAAAACATCCCATAAACCAACACAGCCTTAGTGGCAACGCCAGCAGCTGTAAGTGCTTTGTGCTGTTACTGTTGGGATAGTTGTTGTTTTGACAAACCTTGTTTTCTCCTTTCCTACTCTTCTTGTTCTTCCTTGACGGAGTGATGTCTTTCTTGTCCTTCCCACTCTGGTGTAGGATGAACTGCAGGTTGGAGTTCTCTGGGCAGAGCCGTAGTCAGCAGGAATGCCTTAATGATATTTAACTTCTGTAATGTCCAGACTTTGGTTAGTTTCTTTGGCTTCCCACTTTCGGTGTTCAATCTTTAATTCCCAGCTCCTGCATGCTTGACCCTGGGCCATGTGACTTGCTTCTGGGCTTGGTAGTTGATTCTTTGCCTCTGAGAACTTGGATACAGTGCCTTGGAGTTAGGCAAGTTTTGATTCTCTTGATGAAGTTCTCTTTCATCCACTTGCAAGATTTGGACCAACTACTTTTATATTAGACAATTTCAGGTTAGAAGGAATGAGCATCTAATCAAACTCTCTATTTATAAATGGGAAGATTTCTCTAAATTTTTTCCATAGCTACGATCTTGGCTGAACCTAGACTTGGTTATTTCTAGAATTTTCTTTTGTAGTTCCAGTCTGAAAAACAAATGATTTTGAAGGGGCAGTGGGTGGGAGGTCGGGGGAGGCTGGTGGTGGGTATTATGGAGGGCGCGTATTGCATGGAGCACTGGGTGTGGTGCATAAACAATGAATTCTGTTACACTGAAAAGAAATTTAAAAAAAAGTGTACACACACACACACACACACACACACACACACACAACAACCGTGGGATTTCTTCTGTTTATTATCACATCATCCATTTTTGAGTTGAAATCTCTGTCTCTGTCTCTGCCAATCGGCTTAACCCTTTAAAGCCATCTCCAGCATTTCTCTTCTGTAATGCAGAGCAGAGATCTTCGAGCTAATCTGTCTTTGGAACTGGATTTTCAATTTTTTCAACAAGAGACTGGCTTAGTTGGAATATATTTTCTAAGTTTCACTGGTTTTTGTTGTTGTTGTTGTTGTTTTGTCTTGGTATAATTGAGTGGTTTTAAGTACAGACTCTGGACCCTGAATATTTGGGTTCCTGTCTCAGCTCTTCTACTTACTGTGTGAACATAGGCAGAATATTAAGTTCTGTGCTTTAGTTTCCTAATCTGTAAAATGAGGATAGCAATAACACCTATTTTACAGGATTGTGGGGAGGTCAGAGGACATGAATATGGTTGGAGCCTTCAGATTAGTGCCTGACACCTGTTGACCGTTATTATTTTCCCCTAATAATCTTCTCAGTATTTTTGTCTTCACTTGAAGGGGAATTGGGATAAAGAAGAAAGCTCCTGGACCTGCTTAATTTTTATCTTCTTATAGTGATCGGTATTTCATTGATTTTCCTATCCACAACTTCTATTTAGTAACTTTTTGTTCGTCATCATGTCTTTAGTGTCTAGCCTTATAGGTTGACACACAATAGGCCCTTCATCAATGTTTGCTTAATGAATGAATGGATACTTTCTGACTGTACTCTCTGACATTGGTTACCACTGCCTGGATCTGTCATGCACTGTTTCGACCTCCCTGGATCTGGTCTGGGTTGAAATGTCCTCTTGTTAATTCAGGTCTCTTATCACAGGGCAGTCTAATGCCATGATTGTGAATCCTGCAAACCAGACCTTTACCAGAATGTTCTGTGTCTGCAGCTCTTCTGTGCTTAATCAGGGAAGCCACCTGACAAGAAGGATCTCTTCCTTACTATGCAGGGTCTGACCTGAAAGCAGAGTCCCCATTTGGGCAGCTGTGACATCATCACCACCTTTATGCCCTGTAATAGCATCTGGGCTATAGCTGTCAATCATTTTAGTTGTCTCCTCTTGATAAGGAAGAGACTACATGCTGCCCATTCTCCCCGCTCTCCTCCTGATTGTGTTCTGGGCTAGAGGGATGTATTGGTTGACACTGGCCATGTTTTGATTTTTTTCAACAAATGTTGTCATTTATCTGCTTCCATTTTGTGAGTTTTAATCGTTATCTTTGTTGATGTCCCTGGCCCTATTTTATCACTAGGAAAGGATCTCCTGTGACACCTTCAGCAAGTGACTTAACCACTGGGCCTTGGCTTCCTTTTCTGTAAATTGAGAAGAACTGGCTTATACAATCTCTTTGGTCTATTCCAGCACTAAGCTTCTATGGGTAAAAACTAAAGAGATAAATTAGACATTTTCACCTTTTTCTTCCATTGTCTTTAATGAAGCCTGTGGAAATGTGTGGGCACATAAAGGACAAAGTTAATGTCCTCCTACTTGATTTCTAAGCGATTTCTGTGCTCAGATAGGGACTGGAAATTCACCTCCACAAAGGAGATAGGCCATTTCTCCTGCCTGGCTACTAGCCATCTTCTTTAAAATGCCAACCTGCTCCTTCTCCTTTTGAATAAACTAATATTTCCTGGTCCTTTCTCCTGGCAATCAACACCTGAGTATTGTACTCTGCAATGCACATAGCAGACAGAGTGATTTTTCAAAAAAGGGAATTTTTTCTTATTGGTTCCCACATCTTCCATGTTTCCTACATCTCCCTTCTTGGATTGGCCTAGCCAAGTTGTTGTTCTTTTAGTTTCTGGGAAGCACTAAGCCTTTCCGCTCAACGCCTTTGCACACCTCCCCCTCTCCCTGAGTTATTCTCTCCTGTGCATCCTCCCCAACACCCTCTTTCTTTTTTTCACTTCCTCATAAAATTGGATCCTTCTTATTTTTCAGATCTCAATTTAAATGTCATTTTTCAGAAATGCCTTCTCAGATCACCCCATTGAAAGTAGGTCATTCCTGTAAATTCTTTTCATAGAGCCCTAGGCAATACACAGATTTCATTTTAGTTTGTTACTTACTGTTTTTAAATCGATTACCTGCTTATATACCTGCTTCTCCCATGAAACTGTAACTAACCTTGATGATGACAGAAACCAACTATTATTTACCTGCCAGTGCATACCTATGCCCAGGACATTATACCTGCTCACTACATGTTTATTGAATGGATGGAAAAGTATTATTAGAGCCTCTTCAGTAATCTAATCTGTGTTTTCTGTTGATTTATTAGATTTCCTGTGCTTCCTCAGCTAGAGAGATGAAAACAATTACCAGAATGAAAAGAACATTTTATGGGGTAAGTATTTCAAGTCATTGTTTTTGAGTACTCTGATTTTTAAAATGTGAAAAATTTCTGCTTTTATATCTTCACTTTATCTGCAGATTGGAAACAAAGGAATCTACAAAGCCATCAATGAACTGGATATTCTTCTTTCCTGGATTAAACAATTCTTGGAAAGCGTTAAGTAACGCAAGGAGTCAAATGCGTGGATTGGATTGCTAATTTGGAATATAATGTGAACCCCTGGAAATACATTTGTAAGAGTCTATTTCTTTAAAAAAGTTTTTGTGCAAGTTAAATGATGCAGAATAGACTATAGGAATTTAACATAATAAAGTTCTGGAGATGAGTAAATTGTCACTAATATGTATGTTTTCTTTATTTTCAAAGAATGCTTTCACCTTGAACATGTTTTGTTATTCCCAAATACATTGTATAAACTTAATTTAAAGCTGTATCATCAGAATTAATTCATGTAATATTTGTGGAGGAAAAATGACAGCTTTCTGGGATACAATCTAATGTTATTGTGACTTACATAGATGCTATGTATATGATTATTACCTACTGAAGGGTTTGATGATTATCAATTATGCCTGGTATGAACTTAGCTCCTGACAGATTTTTATTTTAATTAAATACACTGTGTTTTTTTCTCCTGGATGTCCTTTCTATGAGAGCATGCTGGAATTTCATGGAGTACAACGGGTAACAACCAGATCAGATCACGTAGGACAGACATGTAAACAAACTGCCTGGAAACGTTCAACAGGGAGGGCTTTGACAGATGATGCAAGCCTCAAAGACCACAAGTTACCAAGCTGAGATGATGCTGGAGCTTGATAAGGCTCTTTCCAGGTGCTGTGCTATTAGGAAAGTCGATAGGGGCCGACTAAAAGCCTCAGTGCAGTTCAGATTCCTCCACAGGAAACCTATTGGTGCTTAAAAGCCTTCTTTGCTCAGCTAGCTCTTCAGTTAAATGAACAACATGGCCTGACCTTTGTTTTTGCGTTACGTGGACTTGGCCTCTCAGCGATGGTGTGCTTGGCAAGGGCTGTTGCAGACAGCAGTGTATGGGATGGCCAGTGTATGGGATGTATGGCCATGGGATGGCCAGTTGGCTTCCACAAAGCATTCCTCGTGCCCCTGCAGCATGCTGACAACACAATTGTCTTGTGTTGATTTGGTGTTTTGTGATAACATTAGGCACACTTCCTCCAGGCCTGTGTGGATTTTGGCACCTCTTCTTTTTTTTTAAACTAAATTAAAATGTTTTTAATTAAAAAAAAATTTAGAAGATTTATTTATTTGAGAGAGAGCATTGAGAGAGAGAGAGATCACAAGTTGAGGGGAGGGTAGAGGGAGAAGCAGACTCCCTGCTGAGCAGGGAGCCGGATTCAGGATGTGATCCCAGGACTCTGGGATCATGACCTGAGCTGAAGGCAGACGCATAACTGACTGAGCCACCCAGGCACCACTGGCTCCTCTTCTTTATTGCTTTCCCACCAACCAGTTCTTCTTTTCAATCATAAGGTGATTATTCTATTCACTAGGGACTCTGCTCTCTTGGATTATCTCATATTCCAAAATTACTTCTTTGTTCCCTGCTCCTTGTTCTCTCCAGCTTCCCCATCAACACCCTGTGGTCCCATGTTTTATCTCTACTGGGGACTCCCTTATCAGACCAATCTACAGGGAGGGAAAGGTGTGGAGAGCTGAGGGGAATGGTGAGGGGGAGACTGGAGGACCCTGTCTGCATCTCATGCTATTGACCTAGGGCTTCCCAGTTCAGCCTTAGGCCAACAGTAATGGGAGGCTGACTTTGTTTGTTTATTTATTTATATTAAAGTATACTTGACACACAACGTTATGTTAGTTTCAGGTGTTTTGAGAAGCTTATACATTGTGCTATGCTCATCACAAGTGTAGCTACCATCTGTGTCACCACACAATGCAATTACAATACATTTGACCATATTCCCTTTGCTGTGCCTTTCATTTCCAGGACCTATTCATTTCATAACCCACTCCCCTTCACCCATTTTCCCAATCCTCAACACCTCTCCTCTGGCAACCATCAGTTTGTTCTCTGTATTTAGTTATAGTTCTGTTTTGGGCAGCTTACTTCCTTTTTTTTTTTTCTAAAGATTTTTTATTTATTTGAGAGAGAGAGAGAGCACACATGCACACATGTGTGAGGAGGAGGAGGGACAGACAGTAGAGCCCAATGCGGGGCTTGATCTCACAACACTGAGATCATGACCTGAGCCAAAATCCAGAGTCAGATGCTTAATCAACTGAGTTACCCAAGCACCCTGAACACCTTAATTTCTCGGGGAACACTTGGAAGAGCTGGGACCCTGGGGACAGGAATATATACCCTGGCTTTGCCATGGACTTGAGAGGATGTGGTGTACCCATTGTCCCCCTTTTAGGGCACCTTGTCTTCTAGAGGTACCTTCATGGTTCAGTCTAACTGTGCGGCACTTTCACAGAGCCTGGGTCTCAAGTCTTGGTTACACACCTTTCCTATACTGACGCCATACTTAGGGACTTCAGACATGAGAGGGGTTGTGAAATATTCATTTGATGGTCAGCAAACTTTAGGTCCTTAGGAAAAAAAATTAAAATTCACTTGTTCCCCCAAATATTTCTGGTGAATGAATTCAATGTTTTAGTTAGTCTACTTCCCAGAATCTTTGGTTTGGCCGAAATAGTCAAAAGCCTGCTAAACTCAGTCAGAAGCACTCTAGGAATGTGAAGGTCATTATCCAGTAAGAAACCAGTATCCATGTTAGTGCCTATTCCCAGACTTTTTATTTTTATTTTTATTTATTTATTTTTTAAGATTTTATTTATTTACTTATTTGAGAGCAAGACAGTGAGAGAGAGCATGAGGGAGGAGAAGGTCAGAGGGAGAAGCAGACTCCCCATGGAGCTGGGAGCCCGATGCGGAACTCGATCCCGGGACCCCGGGACCACGACCCGAGCCGAAGGCAGTCGTCCAACCAACTGAGCCACCCAGGCGTCCCAGACTTTTTAAATACCAAGGGAAAAAATGTGGTTTTAGTGTGTTTGACTAAGACTGGCATTCTGAAAAGGCAGCTAAGAACAGAGAAGCTGGTGTTCTTCTGCATAGTGAGAAAAAAGTGTTTGGTGGGGTCACTGGGCTCTAGATGAAGACTTCTCTTGAGTTTACAGGTCTCACTCTGGACTCTGTCAGAACCAGAGATGGTTACATTTTGGGAAATGGCCATATACCCCCAAACTCCCACATGATGCTCTGTGAACCCTAAAACCATTTAACATTTATAGGTGGAGATTTCTTCCAATAGATGCTTCCTGGATCATGCCTGGGAGACTACATTTCCTTTGAAAATGTGTATGCCAGCATATGATTAGAACTAAAGGAGTTGCATCTGCTCTTAGCACGGGGTAGAACAGAAGAAGCCTGGAATACCAGTGAGCAGCATGGAGTGGTGGGTAGAGCCCTCAGTGAGGTTAGGAGACCCAACTAGTCCCAACTTCTTGCAGACCTCTGCCCACAGCACCAGATGGTCACCCATACGAAGTATCAACCCCCTCCCTAGCCATCCCCTCTCCCCTCATCACTGATCTAAACCACTTCTCTCCCACTAACATGCTTCTATTGACTTGTTTATTGGCTATCTCCACCATATGAGAATATAGGTTCTGTGGGGCAGGCTGTTGTCTGTTTTGTTCCCTGGAGGATTCCCAGTGCCCAGAACAGGGCCCAAATACAGGACTCTCACTAAACATGTGGTAAATGTATGGACCCAGGAGAGAACAGATTGAGGCCTCGGTCCCACTGCTGTTAGGATGTATGGCCAATGTCAGGTCACTTTGCCTCTTGGACCTCCATTTCTGGATCGGTCCTGATTGAAATTAACTACCACAGGTGATCTGTACTGGTGACTGCATAATGAGGGATTAAGATTGTCCTTTACTCCAGTTCCACTCCCTCCTCTGGGTCTCACACACCTTCTTGGGTCTCTTCCCACCTCCTGCCTCCAGTACCATTCCCAAACCCCAGCTGGCCTGGTTAATTTCTTCTGATCCTTTAAGATTTCATTCAAACATTATTCAGCAGTTAATGGTTTCATACATGCTTTACTTCTCCACAGAACCTATCGTAATTATAAATCCTCTGTATATCTGTTTCTCTCACTAGATTCTCTTCCTCTGATTCACTGCAGCTCTAGTCAGACCCTAACACATAGTAAGTGCCCAACAAATATTTGTTGAATGATATTCAGTGAATAAAATATTGAATTGAATTAGATAGTCTCCAAGATTTCTACTGGCTCTGGCATATCTCCTGCTATAATCTTTACTGGTTGGTATGAATCTTGAGGAATGTAATGTAACAGTGCTTCTCGACCTGAGTCCTCTAAGAGTGCCTATATTATTATTTGCATAACAATGGATTTAAATCAACTTACTTTTTTACTTGCCCCCAATAAAAAAGTTAACTTCAAATAAATATATGACTTTTAACTTGAACAGATACATTTTTTAAAAATTATTTATTTATTTATTTATTTGAGAGAGTGAGTATAAGCAGGGTGGGGGTGGGGAGAGACAGAGGGAGAAGCCAGACAGTTAACCGACTGAGCCACCCAGGCACCCCTTAAACAGATACATTCTTAACTAATATGTGTTCATTTGCATACCATGTAGAATCATCTTGCAAACCCCAGGCGGAATGTGTCTTACACATAGGGAAACGCTGCATTATAATGAATTTCCACTGCCTCATTCTGGTCCAACTTAGAAATTAGAACCTGGTCATTTTAACCTACCCACAGATACCAGTGTAGAAAAAGTCAAGCCACGACGTTCAGGTTTCAAACTGGTTTCAGAGTTCCTGTCATTGTTTCCAGACATAGAGGCATGAAAGCACACTCACCCAGTCAGTGATTCCGCTGGGCTTCCGACTGGGGCTCTCCGCAGAGGGTGCCGGGATAGCAGTATGGCGCCGGTCCTTCCTTCTGCAGCGTCTGGGAGAGCGGCGTCAGCCCGGGGAGCTTTGGTGGATGCCCCGGGGGATGCAGCTTCCCAGGGAGGAATGCCACTGTCCTTCCTCACAGGGAGGCTTCTGGAGCGCTCAGATGTGTTATACACGTGGTAGCAACAAAAAGCGAAAGCTCAGTCAGGCTGAGCAGAA